ACAACGCTTGTCGGTTGGGTTGGGTCCATTCTCTAGTCAGAGTCAAAGGAATGAGGATGCTGCCAAAGGCTCAGAGTATTCACAACCTCCTCAAGCAGAAGGAACAGAGGCCCTGGCCGGTGTCGCTCAGTGGATAGAGCATCAGCCTGTGGACTGAAGGGTCCCGGGTTCAATCCCAGTCAAGGGCACATGCCCCGGTTGCAGGCTCGATCGCCAGTAGGGGGCGTGCAGGAGGCAGCCGATCCAAGATTCTCTCTCATCACTGATGTTTCTAGCTCCCTCCCCTTCCTCTTTGAAATCAATAAAAATATATTTAAAAAAAACAAAGAAGTGACAGAGGTAATCCTCCCCGTACTTTAGCCACAAAAATGGACATCAGTCCGGTATTAGCCCTGGGCAGCTTAGAAAATGCAATGCAGCTCACTGGAGGTGCACTGGTGCCCGGCCAGCGTCTCAGTGGGTAAGCGCTGACCTGTGCACCGGGAGGTCAGGGCACATGCCCAGGTGGCTGCATGGATCCCTGGAGGGTGGAAGGGGGGCGTCCAGGAGGGAGCCGATCAATGTTGATGTTTCTCTCTTCAATGTTCCTCTCTCTCTCCTTTCCTGTCTCTAAAATCAATAAAAACATTAAAAAAAAAAAAAGATGCACTTGTGTCCTGGCCAGTTTGGCTCAGTGGACAGAGTGTCTGCCTGCGGATTGAAGGGTCCCGGGTTCGATTCCGGCCAAGGGCACATGCCTGGGTTGTGGGCTCGGTCCCCGGTAGGGGGCGTGCAGGAGGCAGCCGATCAATGATTCTCTCATCATTGACGTTTCTATCTCTCTCTCCCTCTCCCTTCCTCTCTGAAATCAATAAAAATATTTTAAAAAGATGCACTTGTACCTGAAACTGTTGAGAGATCTAGCACAGTGTATGTTCCACTAAAAAAAGTTTAAATTCAGATGAAGAGTTCTCAAAGCGTCTCCTCCAGTACTGCTACACTGAGTGAGGAAATAAACCATCCTCTGCACATTTAAGGACGTTCTCCACTCTGAACTCTCTGGTGTTTAAAGAGGTGGGATTTGCAGCAAAAATATCTCCCACACACACTACACTCATAAGGTCTTTTCTCCCGTGTGAACTCCCTGGTGTTGAGGGAAGCCAGACCTCTAGCTAGAACATTTTCCACATCTGCCACACTCATCGAGTTTTTTTTGCCAAATGAACTCAATGGTGTCAAACAAGGCAGGGGTGTTGTCTAAAGAATTTCTTACATTCACCACCTTCATGTGGCTTTTCTCCAGGATGAATTCTCTGGTGAATAGCGAGGTTAGATCTCTACCTAAAACCTTTCCCACAAACACTGCACGCATGTGGCTGTTATGAGTGTGTACTCTCTGGTGTTCAATGAGCCTAGTGCTTCAGATGAAGGACTTCTCACAATATCTACACTCAAGGCTTTTCTCTAGTGTGAACTCTCAGGTGTCTAATGAGGTGACATTTGTAGCTAAAAGATTTCCCACATTCACTACACTGATAAGGCCTTTCTGTTGAGTGCACACTCAGGTGTTGAAGGAAGCTGGAGGTATTGCTGAAAGATTTCCCACATTTGCCACACTCATAAGGCTTTTCTTCAGAATGAACGCGAAGGTGTTGAATAAGGTGGGAGTGTTGCCTAAACGATTTTCTACATGTACTACACTCATACGGCTTTTCTCCGGTGTGAATTCTCTGGTGATTAATGAGGATACATTTGATACTAAAGCATTTCCCACAATCACTGCACTCATATGGCTTTTCTCCAGTGTGAACTCTCTGGTGTTGAGTGAGGGCAGAGCGTTGGTGGAAGGACTTCCCACAATCACTGCACTCGTAAGGCTTTTCTCCAGTGTGAACTCTCTGGTGTTTAACAAGGTTAGATCTTTGGCTGAAAGAGTTCCCACAATGACTACACTCGTATGGCTTTTCTCCAGTATGAACTCTCTGGTGTTTAATGAGGGCAGAGCTTTCTCTAAAGTACTTCCCACAATCAATACACTCATATGGCTTTTCTCCAGTGTGCACTCTCTGGTGTCTACGGAGGTCAGATTTGCAGCTAAAACATTTCCCACATTCACTACACCCATAAGGTATTTTTCTACTGTGTTGAAGGAAGCTGGAGGTATCGCTAAAGGATTTCCCAGACTCACCCCATTCATACGGCTTTGCTTCAGAATGAATGCGAAGGTGTTGAATAAGGTGGTAGCGTCGTCGAAACGACTTTCTACATTTACTACACTCATGCGGCTTTTCTCCAGTGTGAACTTTCTGGTGATTAATGAGGATACATTTGTAGGCAAAGCATCTCCCACAATCCCTACACTCATATGGCTTTTCACCAGTGTGGATTTTCTGGTGTTTAAAAAGGGCAGAGCTTTGGCTGAATGACTTCCCACAATCACCACACTCGTAAGGCTTTTCTCCAGTGTGAACTCTCTGGTGTATGCGGAGGTAGCATTTGAAGCGAAAAGATTTCCCACATTCGCCACACTCAAAAGTGCTTTTTCCAGAATGAAGTCTTTGGTGTTGACTGAGGTTCGTGCGCTGTCTAAAGCATTTCCCACAAACACTGCGCTCACACGGTTCTTCTGCAGTGTGACCGCTCTGGTGTTCGCTGAGGTCAGAGCTTCCGCTGAAGGGCTTCTCATAACCCCTACACTCATGAGCCTTCTCTTCGGTGTGAACGCCTCTGTGTTGAATAAGGTTAAAGATGTGTCTAAAGGCTTTTCGACACTGGCTGCACTCAGAAAGCCCTTTTCCAGAACAGACGCTTTGCCGTGGAACAAGGTTCTGGTTTGGGCGGGCAGCTTTTTCACATCCTCCTGAACGGAGACGATTTTCTCCGCTGGGAAAGGCCTGCCCGCTCTCACTGCCATCGTGTGGCTCCTCAGGATCACCAGGGGCCCGGTGCTGAAGGCCTGGGGTGGCTGGGAAGCCCTCCCCAACCTTCCCACAGGCGGAAGGTGCCCCCGATACGCAGAAGCTGCACCTGGTCACAGGCGAGGCCCCGCCCACAGCTCCTTCCCAGGGCTCCTCGGCACTGGCTTCCCGCTGCTGCTGGTGAGGGTTTGCAGGGAAACAGAATTCTCTCACACATGCGTCACCGGAGAAGGCTCTCTGCTCAAGGTCTGCGGCTTGGCACCCAGTCAGGTGCAGAACAGCATTCAAGGCCGGGCCACACCGCTCACAGGGGTGGGTCCTCTGGGCGGCCGGCGCCGTCTCAGACGCCCCGACCGGTGACTCTCCTTCTACAGACACGCTCTGCTCACCAGGGGTCTCGTCAGCTTCCGTTTTATGCCAGCAACCTGAAAGCAGACAACTGCTGAGGTGATGGTTGTGGACTTTGGTCGGAGGGGCAAGTCCCACTGCAAGAGGTTAGACATAATACGCTGGTTCCATGGGGTTGTCTACAAGTAAGGGCCTTGCCCGAGCTGCATGGCTCCGTGGTTGAGCATCGACCTATGAGCCAGGAACAGTTCAATTCCTGGTCAGGGCACATGCCTGGGTGGTGGACTGTTCCCAGAGTGGGGAATGCAGGAGGCAGCCCATCAGTGATTCTCTCATTGATGTTTCTCTCTCTCTCTCTACCTCTCCCTTCCTCTCTGAAATCAATTAAAAAATATTAAAAAAAATAATAAATCAATAAAAAAATATTTTAAAAAAATAATAATAATAAGGGGCCTAGAAACAGGTTGAAAAAGAGGCTACTATGCAGCACTGGTCCTCTGAAGATCACAGAATTGGGTAGACCCCACCGGGAAAGGAATACCGAGACGGCCTGCAGCACGTGGAACAAGAGCAGGTTCTCCAACTCACTCTCCTAACAGCGCTCAGCAAAGTTTGTCTGTTGGTGACCTGGGCAAGCTGTGGAAAAGGTTGATTGTGTCCTTTCCCCAATAAAATTAAATGAGTAGCTGGTATTTGAAGACAACGTAAGGATGTATGCAAACCTCCTAACACATGCTTAAGTCAAGGGTGGAGAACACTGCAGAAGGACAGGTGGCGTCAGGAGGCCGCAAACACGAAGGAAGCCTGAAGCCTGAAGTCACAGATGAAATGACCAGTCAGAGAAAAGTGTCAAGTTCAGGTAAGAAAAGGCAGAAATGAGGTGGGGCCAATGGAACTTGCACCAAAACGCTATTGGACACAGGAGGGGGGGAGGTGCTGTTCTTGGTATGATCTGAACATGGCCCTTACGTCACGCGCAGCCAGGCCTCCTCTGAGATAAAGCTTACATGTCGACCCTGTGAAAAACCGGGGAACTCCCTGCACCGCCACTGTACGACTACCCGGCACCCCAACGATCCAAACCAGGGGTCCTCAAACTTTTTAAACAGGGGGCCAGCTCACTGTCCCTCAGACCGTTGGAGGGCCGGACTATAGTTTAAAAAGAAACTATGAACAAATGCCTAGACACACTGCACCTATCTTATTTTGAAGTAAAAAAACAAAACGGGAACAAATACAATATTTGTATTTGCATGTGGCCCGCGGGCCATCGTTTGAGGACCCCTGATCCAAATCTTAATGAAAGACAGCAGAGGTGAGCAGCAGCACGGGCCCAGAGCCGCTCGGCACACATGGGCATTCAGGGAACTCCTTGTTCAGGGCACGCCGCCGGGCTCAGCACTGGCAGGCCCAGCATGTACGACAAGAAAGTGGGTTTAAATGCGCGGAGCCCATGGCCCAGCTGTGGGACACACACAGATACCCGTGGAATCAAAAAGAGGAGGCAGAAGATCACCTCAGGACACCGGGAGAACGGGAGGGTCTTACCCACGGAGGCTACCAGCGCAAAGATCTCCAGCATCACCTCGCAGTACAGCAGTCTCTGAGCCGCATCAAGGAGCCCCCACTCCTCCTGGGAGAAGGCGATGGCCACGTCCTCCAAGTCCATATCCTGTCGTGATGGAGACAGTTCAGTCCACGATCAGCTTGTCTCCTAGGATCCAAGTTCGTCGTATCCCCCACCCTCCACGTCCACCTGCTTCCGCTGCCCCCACATCACAGAAGAGCCCAGGCCTTGGGACCATCGGCGTCGCTCTCTCCTTATAGTCATTGAGTCTGTGTCTTCCCTCAACACCGATGGGCAGGTGGATGATACCTGAGCTCTGGGCCTGGCATGTCGGCCAAAATGCCTCTTGTCTTTAAGACAGTGGGTGTCACAAACATTGCCTAGAGCAGCGGTTCTCAACCTGTGGGTCGCGACCCCTTTGGGGGTCGAACGACCCTTTCACAGGGGTCGCCTAAGACCATCGGAAAACACATATGTAATTACATATTGTGGTGGTGATTAATCGCTATGCTTTCATTATGTTCAATTTGTAACAATGAAAATACATCCTGCATATCAGATATTTACATGACGATTCATAACAGTAGCAACGTTACAGTTATGAAGTAGCAACGAAAATAATTTTATGGTTGGGGGTCAGCACAACATGAGGAGCTGTATAAAAGGGTCGCGGCATTAGGAAGGTTGAGAACCGCTGGCTTAGAGAGAGAAGCTGGCCACAGAGACGGGTGAGTGATGTGACACTGGTCTTGTCAGGCAATAACCCAGTGGTCTCCCCGTCCCTCCAAGACACAAAAGACATGGCATCACCCTTCACCTTAAACCCCAACCTCAGCGCCAAGACCAGTTTGGCTCAGTGGATAGAGCGTCGGCCTGGGGACTGAAGGGTCTCGGGGTCGATTCCGGTCAAGGGCATGTACCTTGGTTGCGGGCACATCCCCAGTAGGGAGTG